CGAAACGTCGAGGTAAAATATGTTTTATACATGATTAAGTCCCAAAAAAAAATCAAATAATGTGCGAAAATAGTGAAAGTTTAAATCAAAGTAGGTACAGTAAAATTCAGTGTTTATATTACTCGATAAGTGTCTATGCTTAAACAACAGATTTTATTACCATAAGATTTATAATACATACATATTAAAGCTCGTATCAAAAAAAGCATTCTAACACTTGTCTAGACCTCAAAAATATTTCATCATTACATAACATTTCAAAAAGCTTTGCTGTTAATAGAAGAAAAGAAAAAAAAACAGGTCAAAAAAATTACAAAATGGTGTCGCGTTTTGAGTGGTGCGGTTTAGATAGAATGGAAATGGTAGCGCGACGTCCGCGCGACCGTGACGCAACGTCAGCGCGGCGTATACCCGACGTTCGGCACTATTCAGTAGTTGCTCAGTGCTGGCCTTGCGTCAACAAACAAGTTAGGGATACTAAGTTGCGTCGCGCCGTGTGGCATTCGTGTCGACACTGTGTGTACGCTGGCAAGACGCTGACGTTAACATCAACGTCCAACACTATTTCAACTTTTCTAAAGTTGAATATTTAGAGGAGACTCGTGCTCAGGAGTGGGATTTAATATTGCAGAAACTTTTATGGGCTTGGGCACAAAATTCACGAGTTTCATCGCAATCGCATTATATGGCCTCCCTCTCCTTAGAAGAAACCTGTGTTCAGCAGTGAGGGCTCATTCAGAGTATAGGCGCGGGCGCGGCGGTGGATGCGGGCGCGTGGGTCTTGGCGTTTTCCCCTTCACAGTGCCGAAGCGGCTAAATGCGGGTAGATCCATACGTCGAAATCGCAAACAGACGCTAGACCATGCACTGTGAAAGGTACGGGCGGACCGAGCCAGCAGATTTACCCGCGTGACGCGCGCACCCGCTTCCGCGCTCGCCTCGAGACAGGCGCCGGCGCGCGCGTCCACTGTGAACGCAACGAGCGTCTACGTGCATTTGATTTACACGCACCCGCGCCCGCCACCACTCTGAATTTGCCCTGCGATTCAATACTTCAGTGCACGGAACACTGTTACTCCCTTCACAGACTTGCGCGTGGGCACAACAACATAATAATGGAATGAAACACATTTATTTTTATATAGAGACTCACGTAGGCACAACGGTAAGCCTGGAACTTAAGATGTGAATTCAACTTAATACCGCATACAATAGCAACGGTATAAAGACACTGACTGTACTTCCATAATACTGCGTAATATGCGAAACACCGGCTATAAGGCCCAAAATCTACGTACTTGTATCTATTTAAGTTTTTTATCTAAAGATACTACTGTTCTTTATGGGTAATACCTGACGTAGCACTGCGGACATGTTAATTTGGCGAATTGACACAAATAAACACTCAATAAATTATTTTAGTATACATTTCAGGCCGACCAATGCTCAAGTGCTCAACATATCTTTCTAATTTGTGGTGTACAAGTCCACTATTACATTTGTGGCGCTCCACCACAGACTACTTTGTGCTCAACTAAATCGCACTATTCGCACTAAACGTCATACTCTATTTTGACATTTTAAGGTGTCGTTCAGAAAAAGTAACTGCAGTTTTCAGCACGACTACTCAGAGGGTAACCACAAATACTTAGGACAATTAATAAAAGCCGAAAGTGAACTAATCCCTAATAAGTAAGCAAATGCGAATACGGAACTGCACGATCATTGATTAGTGTGACAGAGATCCCATTTGAATTTTTTTAATAATATCTAGTGACGGGACGAACAAGTAGTGCGCCTGATGATAAGATACACGCCTGTCCATAACAGTTGCAGTGCCACTCAGATCTTTAAATCGCAAAGATCTGAGGGGCACTGCCACTGCGCCCGTCACCTTGAGACATAAGTTGACAAGTCTCATGTGCCTATAATTTCACCAGCACCCTTAACCCTTCAAATCCGGAACACAGTAATGCTGACATTACTGCTTGGCGGCAGAAATAGCTAGGTTTGTTGGTACTTATTGGTCAGGTTATGGGATAAAAGAAGAAACTAGTATGCCGTTTGTTTTTATTCTAAATGATGTCGGTTATATGGTTATTTCTTAAATTTGGTTCTTAATATGCTCAACGATCACCAAGTTTTTAAACTGACATTGATTTGCCCATGGAAGAATTTATTATAGGAATGTTTTGAGACATTATTCTACTGACACAATGTTATCTATTGTTGTGTCGCTTAACAGTCAAACTGTATTAGAACAGAACCATTTCTTTCTCTAAATTACCTATACCATACCTACTAGACAAGTCACAAAAGGTATTCGACTGAAGTGATTTGCTAACGTAAAAATAAAGAATTTTAGTCAGGAAAGAATAAATTTAAGTGTGAAATTAAGGTTGATATAGCTTTTGGAGGCAAATAAAAAAAATATTCTTCAATTATTTTTATTGAAATTATCACCTTCTTAATACCAGCACTGAAACGTGTCCACGTTTTACGTACCACACAAATACAAATGAATCGACACGAGTAATTAAGACAAAATACTTGAATACATAGAATAATCTAAATGTTACGTTTAGAAATGTTTAAATTTTGCCGGTCTGAAGCTAGCGACTTGCCTAAAGGCACTTGAGGTCATAATTTACTTGCTTGGAATCTCAACTTGGCAAGTCAGTTCTAAAGAATGTAGTGTCAAGGTAAGTAGGTAACTTAAATTTAAAAAACTTATCGTATGTTTTACAGACAAAATAATAGATAGGTATTTTCATTACAAAGTTTAATTCACGTAACAGACCGGCGAAAAGCTACGAAATTATTCCTCGATATAGATATTTATTTGTAAACATATTTTAAACACTACGTACTTGTGGTATGTTTAACAATTAAACAGAAAACCGTGTAAATTACTTTCAGCCAAATGATTTTATTATTTCACTACGTAAAAACCTAACTTGAATAAATAACAGCCCAATCAAGTGTATGTATTTATGTTAAAATTTAATATTGTATTGTGTGTATCCAGTATATCCAGGGTCTCGTTAAATTATACAGATATTGTCAACTATGTTGTATTATCATATCAATAGTATTTTTGTAGAAACGTTACAATCTCATAATGGGAAGATAATAATATTGGAAGTTTTGTCTACGATCTTTCAGCTTCTAACTAAAATTCAATTTAATATTTACACTTACAAACGTATTGAGGATTGAGAACTAGTTTCTTTCCGATCGCGTTTTAGTTCACTCACATACTCTGATTTGACACTTTTTAGGGTTGGCAATTTATATTAACGAATCTGTTGCTTATCAGTCCAAAGTGTTAAATGGCAAGAAAATTACCTTATTAGTTATTATCAAAATAATCATCAATTTGCACAACCCTTCTGCATACCTCAAAAAGTACAAAAGTCCTTCAATATAAGCTTACGTAACTATTCATAATCAATTCACCTAAATTCTGAACACTATCCGAACGTCGCTTCTAAGTTTAAATATTAAACATTTCTATCTTTATAAATGCACTTTTTGTTAACGTTATATCTACTCTAGGAAAGAAGAATAAAAAATTATTATGAATGTATCGTTATTTACTGGTCATTTATGGAAGTGATTGGTATTTACCGCCATTTTAAAATACTTCTGTTTAAGTGCTTATTGTAACTTAAAATTCCTTTTTATTTCACAATTGAACTTAGAAAGTATTTATTATTTTGTTTATAAAAGTTTGTAAAAATCGCATGAATAATAATATATATTTTAAAGGTTTCCCTGTACTAAGGGTGATGAAAGTGTCAGTGTCGTTTTGATTTGGTACGATAACATGTTCGACTGATGGTATATATATATATATATATATATCATTCAAAAACATTGCACTTGCTATTAAAAACGGGAAGTCTAACTTTTGGAAAGAAAACTTACAAATAATGAATACTCAAGAATACTGAAGGAATGATGGCATCGCTTATCTCACACTTTTGGACTTATTCACCTATGTATTCTTTGGTGTTGTGTCATTTTAACAATGATTGATTCATTTTCTATGGACGCTATAATAATGGCTTAAGTTTACTTACTAAAGATTTTTACGGACTGTACAGATATTTAAAAAACCTGACATTCAAGAAATACTGATAAGAACTTTCAGTTTCAAGTGCATATTTTTATACATAATTTAAATCTTGCACAGTCCGTAAGGTGTTTTCTAGATACTTATTGCTTCTAATTTCGTACTCTATATTTACATCTAAGTCTATTTACACAAATGGAATCATTGAGATCATTTCAATATTCTTACTTACGCAGTACAAATGATGTTTACGAGGTCAGTTAGAGTTACAATCTAGTCTACACGTTAAATAAAAATAATACTTTTAGAATAGACTGGTTTGGTACACGATGGCCACTAAATTGTAACCAAACATGAGGTAATAATTGTTACCGTAACGGTAAATCCTTTAGAGAATTATATGAAATGTCTCCTTATTCTTTCAGCATAATTCAATACAATCAACAAGGCGCACACACTATTGCACGATTTCAAAATTAAACATAAACAAAAATGGAATGGAACAATTAATTGCACATTTCATATGTACAAACACCATTGCATTGTCTGAAGTTGCTTTTAGTAACTTGCATTTATTAGCCTTGTTACAGGAAAAAAATGATTGTCACCCTATCTTCTGAAGGTTATTAAAAAGGTCGAATATTTCGACGTCTTGTTTTTGGTGACAAAAGGATTTAGAAAATAATTATCTCGCTATTTTTTTAGGCGTCTTCTTTTTAATTGTGCTTTTTTTCATCCAAAACGCTCTTTGACGAGAAACATGAGTTTCTTTTTGCCTTTATACTTGAGTTTGATCTCTTGCAGCAGCGCAGCGAACTGGTGCGGCCCGTCGTGGGCCAGAGCGAACGTATCACGAGCTTTACCTGCGAAGAAAGATTTTAAGTAAGTTTTTGCCTGCATCGTCGTATTGGAATCGTAGATATAGAAACGCTGAATCTTTCTTTTTCTTAAAGGTACAGACAGCAGGACATTAAGCTACACATTGACAGATTTTGTTCCGGTGCATTGGAGGCGATATTTGAACAAAATCGTTGTAGCTCGATGTGCTGTTAGCTGTACATAGTATTGTAATGAAATTTACAACTCGGCAATGTTGACATCCACCTAGATAAAATTCTTTACTAACCCAGAAAGTCGACGAAATCAGCATAATGTCTAGGCGAGATATGCGCGAGACGCGCATGCGTAGTGGACGCGTAGGCGCGCAGCGCGGCCTCCAGGAGAGGCCTTAGAGGCGTCGGTGGCCGCGGTGGTGGTGGTCGCGACCGGGAACAACCCGCTGCCGCTACGCAACACCGACGTAGGACGTCAGACTGTAAAATAAAGTTGTAATTTTTTAATGATGCCTATTTCAAACCATATTTGAGATGAAAAGCTTATATACTTTGAGTTAAATATTTAAATAAAATATTAAATATTAGACAACGTCACCAATGAGTGGAATTGAGGGTGTTAATTTACCTAAAGCATGAACATTTTCTTACTACGGACATCCCCATTTCGTCATCATTGCTTGTAAAATTTATTTGTTTACTTTTATATTGTACAGAATGTAGGTTGTCTCATGTTTATTTTTAAAATGGTGAAAGTATTTAAATACGTAAGTGCATACAGAAACACAATTACAATATTATTTTTTGAAACAATAATTTGTAACAAAAATTTAATAGGAAAATTTTTTTTGCCAATGTACTCATATTTCAATTAATAATACGCATATTGAATATGATATTTTCCGAGAATTACCGTGATTAGTAGAAGGTAATGTCCACATTATTCTTTAGTTAACTTTAATTCGTACATACGTTGCTCTGATCCCAAAGTAACTAAAGCACTTGTGTTATGGAAATTGGAAACAACGACGATACCACAAACACCCAGACCCAAGACAATATGAGAAAAGTTAGTTTTTCTACATTGACTCGGCCGGGGATCAAAACCGGGACCTTGGAGATAACGACACCATGAAAACCGGTGTGATAGCCACTCGACCACGGAGGTTGAGTGCTTACTGAGAAGGCAGCAGGTTCGATCTTTGATCGACTTTCCGGCTCGTTCATTTGGTTTTTTAAATTGTGTTCAGATCAGCTAGTTAGTTTTCAGTAGCAGTAGATCTTCTTGTGAAAGAGTTCGTTCAGGGAAGTACTGCCACCTTATCTATTTCTGCCACCAAGCAGTAATGTGAAGCATTACTGCGTTCCGGTTTTGAAGGGGTGTTGGTGAAATTACAGGCACATGCGACGTGTCAACTTATGTCTCGGGGTGACGGGTGCAGTGGCAGTGCCCTTCAGATCTTTAAGCTCTGGGTGGCACTGCAACTGTTATGAACAGGCGTGTGGCTTACCACGAGGCCCACGACTTTAAAAAAGAAAACAAAGCTAATTAATTAGCACTTAGGAAATGAAACTATTTTTTCGGATTTAAATCGCGTATATTTGTTTTTTCAAACAAACCAATGTTTCGGGTCCTTTACAGGTCACATGGTTACGGTTGACATAGTCAACTATGTGTAACAATCACGAAAACCTAAGAACTCGATAATTAGCACTCGTTTGAAGATAACCAAAGAGATAATTCTCAGTCATTAAAAACGAAACACCCTAAACTGCATTTGGATAACGACTTAACGCCTTTTTTCTTAGAGAAAACCCTGATAGTTTCTGGTATGTGCATTGATAGATCTAGAGTACTAACCAGTACGGGAGCGCATTGCACGTTCTTGACGAGGAGCGGTAGCATGGCTTGAAGCTCGGCACGGCCTAGTGAGTGTGCTAACGCCACCGCCCAGTGGATGTCTGCGATTGCTGGGTGGCTGTCCTGGAAATCAAGTAACATTGACTTAGGGAGAGTCTTTGAGATAGCTACATGCTAAGATTACTTAGCAAGAACGAACAACTCCAGAGTACTGCTAACCTCCATACTACTCCAAAAGGATTCGTATTTCGATGTATTACGATAATATTAAGTTTCCGAACAGACTCGAGTTCGACATTAGTGCTCGAGTCTATTCATGTAATAAGTCACGCTTAAGTTCGAGTCTGTTTATGTAACCAGTGAAGCTCAAGTCTGGTAAGTACCTACTGAGCGGTGTTGTGGTGTGGCGTGTTAAACTGTAGAACAATTACTGTAGTATAATTAAGTATTAATTATGTACTTTTTTAAAGTCAGCACATTCGGTTTTTGTTTTTCACTTTAATTCGTGAGCAATAGAAGCTGTTTGCTAAAATTGAATCCTGCTTGTCGTACTCAAGACCTTGTAGGGTAGAAATCGCTTCGAGTCGTGTTTTCGAACTCAAGTTTTGTTCACAACTCGAGTTAGGTTTACGACTCGAGTTCTTTTTGGACTCGAGTCCGTGCTCCGATGATTCGCGCTCGACTCGTCTCGGGCTCGTGAGTGTTTTAAGACCACCGAGCCGCCCGTAGAAAACTGAGTAGTTTATAAATGAAGCCTCCCGGACTCGAGTTTTTTACAACACTATCTAGATGGTGCTGATGAGTTTGGAAATTGTTGTGGATATCCATTAATTCCTTTTTTTATTACGAAATATAAGATTGTTTTTTTTTTCTTGTAATATTATTCAGATATTTATCATGAGCTAAAATTATTTTCTGAATTTTGACAAATATGCGTAACAATAGATGGCATCGTGTATTACTAACTAAAAATTAACGCTCCTAATATAGGCAGATGGCGCTAATCCTAAACAAAATAAAATAGCTGGCAGTATCCGTAAGAATTTGTGCAATAAGCGCCATTTAGTTGATTGTTTGTTATCACTAGAAATTAGAGTAGCTTTGATAAATTGCAGCTCGTCAATGTAAAATTAGTTATATATATTTAGTATATATATATTTAGTATATAAATATATATTTAGTACACGTCACGACATCTGGTGATCGAATAGGTATTAGATACTCGACCACGCGGTTTTGTACTGCAATTAGCAGTCTCTTGAGTAATTGGTCCATGATACTTAGCAACAATTTACTTCATGAAATAAATAAACAAACATAAATAATGCACACACTCATAGCCCCGCACTAGGGAACCCTGTATCGCGGATGCCATGGACACACACAATGACAACCACAAATTACACTCAAACTCAAGAGAGAAATAAATGTAGGTGGTACACATATTTCTTCCAGTCCGGGAACTGTTCGACCACGGAAGCAGTCACAGAGAGATCAACAACGGCTTTCCTTTTTCTACAGTCCTGTCATGCCTTTTGCCTCATATTTTTCGCCTCATCAACACGCATCAGTGCTTTCACACATGCTTATCGGTTAAGAGTATTTGACCTGACCTTTCTTTAAGACATCTTCAATTTAGTTATGGTAAGTTTGTCCTAGTCGGCCCTTACCAACTATATTCTACAGGATATATCACGGAGACTGTGCGATGGAATTGAACGATTTGTTTCCGCCTTGCCCTTTCCATCATCGGTGGACTAGACGTAGGCTGGGGTTCCACCCTTATATTGTGGATATTCCAAAGATTCCCACGAAGCGTTTCGCTTCCACATTTATATGGCGAGCGGCTAGGGAGTCAAATTCCCTGTCGGCGAACTTGTTCCCGAAAAGCTATATCTTGGGACCTTTTCAAAACGAGAGTGAACAGGCGTTATTTAGGTGTGCATGCTACATGACCTCATCGCCAATTTCCATCAGGTCAAAGAGATGGAGGTCAAATGCGCACTTATTTTTATATATGAAAAAAGAACTTGCCCGTTCTCACTCGCCTTTTAAATCTGTTTAGTCAATTTTCTTTCATTCATTCTTTCCACATTTGCGAACCACCTAAGCATCCCTATTTCTATCTTTGTCACTACATCTTCCACGCCGCAACGCTCTCTATTTATCCACCAGAGTCGCACCAGCCATACTTCTCAAAGCTCTCATTTCCACTGCATTATTTCTACTTTCGTGCTTCTTCTGCCAGTCCCAATATTTCGCCAATTGGATGTGATTGACTCTTAAAGATATTAAGAATTTAAGAAGATAATCTGCAAGCTGCTGTAAGTCTAGGAAATTTACCTGGTTGTAGTGCAGATGTAAATTCCTCATAGCGAGAGTGGCCAATCGCATTGCTCTTGCGGGTTGACCACGTTGCTCCATGTATCTCGCGACGGCGAAGAGCTGACTGCTGGCCAGTGCTCCTCTAGCGGCTGCGCCCCCCACTGCTGCGCAGGCGGCTTCGAACGCTCCTGCTGAACCTTCGCATACTGAAAGTGCGCTTAGAGCGCAGCCCGGCGGATCCTGGAGATTTTAAAGTGTTTGGTTTGAAATTTTCTATAGTTATTGCTATAAATGTGATTGAAAAACCAAAAGGAGAAGGTTAAAGCGTTTGTTTGGGCATACATGGTTATTTTTAAAATACTTACAACCTCACAAGACGTCAGCCTGTAACACTTTTAATAATTTACTTTCAAATAAAAATATTTAAATAGATCCCTTTGAACGGTGATAACTCTTTGCGGTAACAAAAGAAAGCAAAACGCAGGAGCGTCGGTGAGGGTAGTCGAGGAGGACGCATGCATGTTTGAACTTACTACCAAATATCGATCTAAAAAGTGTCAGGTAGTACAACAAAATCTTAAGTTTATTTTTGGTGAATTTATTTATTATTATATTAGGTATTTATTAATTAGTTAACTACAACAAATTTTGTTTCATGACTTGTTATAAGACATAATATATTTTGTAAAATGTCAAGTCAATTTGTTGTTTATGATGTTAGTACTATAGTCCTGCGAGATTGTTAGTATTTTACAAATAACCCTGTATATATTAAACTATAAAATGTGAAGGCGCAATAACCTTCTACGGCACCGTGTACATTAAAATGTACATAATATGAGAAGTGACTCAGACCTAGACTATATAGAATAATACTATTTCTATGATCACGTAAACTCTCAGTGTACATTATTATAATGATTTACAAAGTTAACACATAGTGTCTAAGATAATACGTTTTCCATACAAAACTCATGTGATAGTAACTTGCTGAAGTCTGTTTGTTTAGTGAATTTTAATGTATACATTGGGCGTTTAGCTTTTTCCCATTATAGTTTACTCGGTGTAATGGAGGCACAATGGCCTCAATATGTTGTTGACAGACAATTTGCATTTACCGATAAGACATTAAACATTTGAAAATAGATATTGTGCAATACCTTAGCGGCACACTGTAAGGCTAGCGTCCTGGCACAGGCGCTAAGCTTCTCCTGCTGCTCGAAAGTGAGGCCTAGTCGCAGTGCAGTTGCGTGTGACATCGCTGCCGCCGCGACCGGACCAGTCGCTTCCGTTGGTGTGAATAATTCGTACCTGTAAATTATTTATCAGTTACGTAAAGGGATAATATTATTTGATCCTCAAAGATATAATTGATCTATTGTAAACATGCATTTTTTTAAATAAACGATATTTTTTTACTGTATTTACGCATCGAGTTTATAACCAGAAATAGAGACGAAATAAGGGCCATATATTCCTGGTAACACATTAGCGATACAGCTCTTATAAATATCAACTCCCGTTTGCACTGAAATATAGACAGGCCACTACTGACCTGTACGTACGTCTCCGTATATTCCAAAAAATATTCTGTATTTATTGTAATAAAGATAATATCTCTAACAATGCCGTGCTGTTCTATTCGGTGGTGTGGGAAAAACAGCAAAACATCTAATTACAAAACAAGCGGAATCACATTTCATCGGTAATTAAATACTAATTATGTAATTTTGCAATTTTCGTCCATTATAGCAAAGCTCAAGTTAAATGGTCGATTTGAAGTGAAACAGTTGACGACACCCGTCAATTGTTTCGAACTCGGGCTAGCCAATCGGAGCGCAGTGGTCACAGTAATGATATGGCAGAATAGTTTTCAAACAAATTAAATGACATTTCGTCTCTATTTCTGGTTATATACTCGATGATGTTACGCGATAACTCGTATTTGTGTTGTGTGTAATTTGTGAACCGATCTTGATGATTCTTTTTTGTTGGAAAGAAGTTACCTCAGTAGTGTTCCATTTAAATTTGAAGATAGAAAGGGGCACTAACACTGCGCCAATCACCCTGAGACATAATACGTTGACAAGTCCCATGTGCGTAATTGTGTGTGATTTCACCGGAAAACCGGAACACATTAATGCTGACATTAGTGCTTGGCGGCAGAAATAGGTAAGGTGGCAATACTACCCTGCACGAACTCTTTCACGAGGACTCTACTGCTACTAAAGTCTTTACGATTTGAAGCTCTGAGTGGCTTGGCATTGCAACTGTTATGGACAGGGGTGTCGTTTACCACCAGGCACATGATTTGTTCGTCCCGTCCGTCACTTAGTATTATAAAAAAAACTAAAAATGCAAGGTGGATCGAATTGTGTCCGGGAGCGTATAATAAAATGACATTTTGATGACCATACCACGGGACCTTCACTATTATTGAATGTTAGCCTCACTTACCAGTTTTGCATGATAGAAAGCAGTGCGTCTAAGCCAAGTTCGGTGGCGCAGGTCACAAGCCACCGGACCATTTCACGTCGTCGCCAATTCACCGATGATAGTGTCATCCGTAATACCTGCAATTGATAAACATATTTTTAAGTGCAAAACAAGATTGATTGGGCATATCATTACGACTCTGATAAGACTGGCTAAAAGAGGATTGTAAGTTGTATGGCAGAATTTGAGAAAACTTTATTTCCCAAATCGATCTTACCCGGAATTGACCCCGAGAACCTCCTCATTCAGCGCCCAAAATAAAAATAATGTAAAGTGGTTCTTAGTGTCGATATAATAGCCATATTATGACTGACTGTTGTTATATCCGATTTTTTTTCGAATGTCCTCATCGCGTATTCGCGAATTTTTCTGTCGCCGTTAGTTAAAAGGTTGTAATAAAAACTCAAAACTGAGACCAAAATGTTTAAAGAAATGAAATTAAAAAATATATCTACTCTTCTCTTGCGGTAACCATACGTAATTCACCTAGGAAAAAAATAAAAATAGTGACAAATAGGCCTCTTTTTAAAAAAAATAAATTTACTGATCATCACCGCAGTATACATAACAATTTTTTCTGAAAAATGTCACATGCGCCCTTTCAATATACTATAGTTATGTGCCACTTCTTTCATCGTCATCCCACCTTTTTAACACCATTTTTTCTGGTTACTGGCCATTTTTGAAAATTTGAATCGTTGTCTAATTCTTTTTCTTCGTCTTTTTTACTTTGCTTCGTTACTCCTTAGAAAATTCTCGAAGAGAAAAGGCGTGTCCTTCAATCATGTAAAAGGGCCTGTATTCCTTATATATATAGGCCTTATATATATAAGAATACAGGTCCTTTTTGGGGTATGTGTCAGCTTTATATTCATCTATAAGCATATTGTATCTGTGTTTTTATACCATTATTTTTTGTTAGAGCCTTTCCTTTCTATCTTACCTTTTTCTTTGTTCCTACCTCTACAATAAAAATTATGTGGACTGAGACTTCCCCTTAATTTCGCCAAGGCTAAGCTACAGGTCCAAAGCCCATAGTGCAAATTGTCGGGCTACCGAGGTCGTCAATATTCTGTCATCCGCTAACGCGGTTAAGCGATAAAATAATTTTTTGAGATATCATATAAACCATAACCCCGTTTTCAGATTATTGAAATTGTTTAATGATATTTTAGCTATGCATCGTTAGAGTAAGTTCCGATAAGTCGAACAAGTTAACTAATTTTAACGGTTTTTAAAAGATAATTTTGTGCTCTTTATTTTTTGCTGTTTAAAATGGTTATTTCACCATTTTGTCGCCTTACTTTCTCAAACTCGTATCTTAAAAGCACATTTCCTTCATATTTACACACTAGCTTTTACCTATTCTTAAAGTATTGTATCCAAATTAACACCCTTGATAAGAAATTCAAAATATATAGAAAGTTTTGCCATCTCCTGAACAATCACTCTTTGTAAGATTCGTGTTTGAGAAAGTAAGACATCGATTTGTCACTTAACCGCGTTTTAGTAAGTCGACGGCAGTATTAATGAAGTGACGAACCTGTAAGCCCAGTTCGAAGGCAGCAGCCAACAGGTCCCGGTGATGGTGCGGCGCGTCTGGCGGCGCGGCGTGTCGCAGCGCGTCCTGCGCGAGGCGGAACAGCTGCGCGGCGCTGCGCACGTGGCGCTGCGCAGCGCCTAGTGCTGCGCGCAGACGACCCGGGTTGCCGCGAGCTGCGCCTGCAGTAACAAAAAAATACATAAATGTACCAAACAACGATATCTATATACTAGCGTACTTGATGTGGCATTCTATACACACTTTGTTTTTCACTGTTGTGCGGTGAAAACACAACACTTCCAATATCATAGATTAATAAGCAATAGTGTTCTGACTACACTATAATAAAGTAGCGTCAAATAAACTATAAAAATAGTAATACCGTATGGTTACTGTACATAAATAAAAAATAAATAAATAAAAGATTAGGCTGCATGGTATTGAGATCTTTGCCTTTCCGCAAGGAAAAGTAACGCAACATAAAATCAATAATTTCAACAACTCGACTGTGTTTTTCTTTCTTTTACATAATTTGTTTTTCTTTTTAGTAATATAATAATTATAAATAGTAAGCGGAAGGTCACTTCAATTCAAAAAAATCATTCATTTCATTTTACGGTACAGTTTATTAAATGTTCATAAATTACAACTTATTACTATAGTGACTTACCAAGCAGTGCACTGGCTAGAGTTGCCTGCTGTTGCTCAGCGTGCTGCAACGTGTGCCACGCGCCCGCGCCGCCTCCGGCTGCGCCTGCGCCGGCCCCTCCGCTGTCTAGCGCGTACGCCTCCTCCACCATCGGTAACCTGGCAGAATACATTTGCTGATATTATTGATAATACTAAGGGAGTATAAGTATAAAATCTATATTTACGGTGTTTTTTTTTAACTATAAGTGCGCATTTGACTTCCCTCTCCATCTCACTCAATGGAAAAGGAAGATGAGGTCGACGAAGGAGTATGCACGCCTAAATAATCCCTATTCACTCTCGCCTTGAAAAGGTTTAAGGTAAATGCCTGCAAACTTATTCCCTGAACGCCATTTCAGGGAATAAGTTTGCAGGTAGGGAATTCCCTTTCATAGCCGTTCGCTAATGCTCCGTGTGAATCCTTGGAATATTCACAACATAGGGTTGGAACCCCAGCATATGT